TTGGGTCGGTGCCTTCTTGCTGGAGTAGTCTTCTGTCTTAGGTGAGTTGCCTTCTGCCCTCCATCCCCTTATGGTTTGAAATATATATGCATACATATGTATATGTGTGCCGCTTTGGTGGCAGACAGGTGTGTGGGCACTTGTCACTGAACCACACAAACGTGGTGACCTTGCATTTTCTATTGTATTGCCTATCTATACTTTTTTGTTATGCACGGCTTGTGATGATTTGTGAAGGGAATGAGAGAGAGAATCTGGGATCTTTTAAAACAACACACACACATACACACACACACACACACACACACACACGCACACACAAGCACAGGGAGGAGATCCAAAGGTCGAAGAAGGACAACATAAGATCAGGGGATAGCTAAGTCCAGCCCCCTCCGAAAATAGAGCCACCTCAAGCTCAGATGAGGAGGTTCGCTACCCGCCTGGCCACAGCCTCCCAACAAAAAAATATGGTCGTTCACCTCCATTTTTCATTTCTCGCTTTTTTCCTTGCTGTTCTTCCTTTTTTCATCGTTCCTTCTTTTTTTTTTTGTTCCTTTTTTTTCTCTTTTGCTATAACCCATACAGTATGCCTTGTTGAATGTCTAAGGGCCTTACCAGGCCACCACACGGTCTCAGGCCGAAGGTAAGAAAAGACCCCTACGTGGATTTAGGGCTTGAGCGGGCGACAGTTGACCAAAGTCCACTCCTTGAGTCCCAACAGTCGAAGTCAAAAGTGGACCCAGCCCAGGCCATCGGTCAGACGCACACACTTGTTTGTATGCAGGTACCTAGACAGCATTCGGAGCAAGTGGAAGTCTGCAACCGTATGCAATCCAGGCTCTCAGTTGTGAGTCAATCTGATCCACCGTGGGGGGGGGACCGGAAGCAAGTCAACTAGCTGCTGCTTCCAGGAGGTCGATATTCAGTTTGCTATGTTCCTTGACGCTGGCTGTACGCTGGTATTGTGGACGACGACGCGGGACTGTGGCGACATGCTGGCACTTTCTTTCTGAGCGCCAGTTATTGCTGATGTGGTGTATACCACCTATCTTCATTGCTGATGTTGCGCATGCCACCTGTCTCCATTGCTGAATTGGCGCATGCCACCTGTCTTCATCGCTGATGTGGCATTGGCCACACTGTCTACATTGGGTGATTGCCGCGACAAGGATGGAGATCGGGATCTGTGGATGATTGAGGAACGAGATCCTTACCTGAGGTTGGCGTCAATATTGTGCGCTGCTGATCGTCTCCATTGTCTTCACGGGAGAACAGTGCCACGTGGCACTTCTGTGTGATCAGGATTTGTCAGACTCATTACTGGATACTGTTTGATGACGTGGAGGCGTTGGGAAGCCTGGAGGAGGAGTGGGTAATGTTGGGCTACTTTCTTGGTGGTCGTTGATTCTCTTCCACCCTCCTATTGTTTATTCCCCCTCCACTCTCTTTGTCTAATGGTAATGAGACTTTGTATTAGAGATCACTTTCATGATTATTGGAGACATTGTCCAGATCTGAGTCAACTTGTTCTTCGATGTCTGACGAGTATTTTCCTGTTTGGGTTCATTACAATTTGGTATCAGAGCATACGTTCTTCGTCGCGATCTGCTGTCAGGCGCCACGTGGCGCACAGGTAAGTGGGAGGTGTCGCACGTGTCAGGGACGAAACATGTTTATCAACGCGCGCGAGTAATCACATGTCTAGACATTGAGTATCGCACGTGCGTGCAGCCTCCCTTGAAGGTGATCACATGGACGCTCTTAAGAAGAAGATGACGACATTGCTTATGTGGCGCTTTGTTGTTGAACGTGGCATTGAGATCCCGGCGAGACCATCGTTGGCAACAGGCTGACATGGCGCTGGTGAAGAGAGAGAGAGTGAATATTAGGACCGCTGAAGTGGCGTGCTGCCTACGTGGCATGACGTAGGGGTGCTGACGTGGCATCCTACTACTATTGGCATGGCATTGTCTTACGTGACACGCACCTGTGTCGCGATTGCTTGTTGACGAAGCGCTCCACACTTTGATTTGACGTGGCATACCAGTGTTGGACGTGTTGCCAGACCATGCATTGTTGACGTGGCATCCCTTTCGTGGACCTTCCAGTCATCGACGTCGACGTGGCAGGCTTTGTACAGGCTTTGTAGAGCTGATTTGTTGGCATTCTAGGGGTGACATGTGGCATGTTTGGCACGCTGTTGTGGGTGAGGTGTTGATTTTGCACTTGTGTGCTGGCAGACGGTACGTCTTCACGATTTGTTGTAGTGTCACATGTCGGCCCTTGTGTCTGGTTGCATTGGTTCTGCAGATGGTACAACCGTAGAGGAAGGAAGGGTGACAATTGATTGTTGTTGATTGTGTTGGCTGACCTACTCACTTGTTTTGGCTGTTCTGTGGTTGTCGTGCATACTCACCGGTATTGTTGTGTCTTGATCACACTAGTCGTGGTTGCGGTACCAGGGCACTCTCTGTAGGACTTCAGCACACATAGGACAGTCAGCAAAGTTAGAAGTTAAAGTAAGTTGAGAATATGCTTCTTCGTAATTATTTGTGTATTTCTTGCTGTGGAAATAGAGTTTGGTCGTGAATTTTATTTTTGTCTTTTGAGATGATTTATTGTGTGGCATTCACACGCTGGGAACCATGACTTATCTCTGGACATGTCTACGTGCCCCCATTCTCACAAGGTTCATTCCTCTTTTCTTCTGTCCTATCCCTCTCACCGTCTTTGCTGATGAAGAAGGGGGAGTCTTAAAACCTGTGGTCAGATTGATGCGAGAAGGCAAACGCTAATAGGTCTTCTCGGCTAGCTTCTTGGCGAGATACATGGAGCCGGAACTGAAGTTGATCGGCATGTGCACAGCCAGTTCAATTTGCTTGCTGCAGAAGAGGAACTGAATGCCGTTGACATTGCCACTAAGATGTTGGAAACTGGAAAGAGAGTTGAGGAACTCATAAGGCAAGGGCGAATAACCCTTGACCGTTATGTCGCCAAACATCTGTAAAAGATGGACCAAAAGAGAAAAGCAGCGAAGGAAGAAAGAAAAGAAAGAAAGGAAGAACCAGAAACTGTCTGAGGAGATTTTGGAGGAAAATATTGGGCAACTAGAAAACACGCTGAGGGAAGAAAGGAAGACTCCGAAGAAGATAAAAGAATGTCCAAGAAAGAAGGAAGAAAAGGAACAGGAAGAAAGAATGATGGGAGAGCTAAGGCACAAATTTCAATATGAAGAAGCAGACATTGAAGTTGCATTCATTTTGCAGTCCATGATGGCTTATCTCGTCCACCTTGAAATAGATAACAACACTGCCTCACTGGAGACAGTGACCAGACTTCTCAAACACAAAGACAAGGTAAGGATTGAGGTGGAGACCACGGGGGAGGAAGTGAAAAAAAAAAAGAACAGGAAAAACTCATGAAGGATGCAATGAAAAGAGGAATGTAGGAGAAACCCGAAGGTTCTAAGAAGAAACCAGAGAAGCCGGCGGAAAAGAAAGAACCGGCCAAGAAAGAAGAACAGGCTAAGGAAGTAGAGAAACTCAAAAGAAAGAAGAAGGTAAAGATGTTGCCATTCACGTACAACAATAAAATGGGAGAAATTTTGTTATTATGGATTGCGGAAATCCAGTCATACTGCAGTACCGCACCCGTTCAGCCTGAGAGTCAGGTGGCCTTCTCCATGTCGCGCTTGGGAGAAGTGGCGAAGGAGTGAGTCCTGTCCGAAGCTTAACGTTGTTGGCTTCTAAGACATTGATGAGTGGGCTAAGACCTTGACCCTTTAGCAATTTTTCCAGAAAATAAAGGAGAGGTTTCTTGATAAGACCATTACCAATGACGAACTCACCACTATAGGTCAGAAGCGTTGGACGTTAGTGGATGCTTTGTCTCGTCCCTACACTTGTAAAAATCGCTAATGTGACAATTCTTGGATTTGGGCCGTCTGTGGACCTACCGACCCGACGGCCCGGATTTGGCCCCGAGCCTCGAACTTCGTCCCCAATCTTTAAGTTTAAGATTGCGCGGCGATCAAGGCCGTTTGGATTTACTGGCCCGATGGCCCAGATCATCCTGCAATCTTAAAACTTCAAAATCGCGGGCCAATCCGAGCCGTCGGACCGTGAACGGCCCAGATAGCCGCGTGCTGCTTGGGGAACCCGTAGGGCCTTTCAGACCGTTGCTACCCGCCCGCCCAACTACTCTAGGTACGCGACGTGCAACGCTACGAACTGTCTTTGGACGCTGCCTACGAGACGAAGTACTGCTACTACTCGACAAGCTACTCCGCGCCCTACACGACCTACGCAACCTTGCTACGAACATCTTGCTGCGTGCTCCTTACACCCTCTCTCTCTCTCTCTCTCTCTCTCTCTCTCTCTCTCTCTCTCTCTCTCTCTCTCTCTCTCTCTCTCTCTCTCTCTCTCTTTGTGCGGGCTGTTTGTGCAAAGGTCCAAAGGCTTGGTGAAGTGCACTTGGATGCTTGAGAGAGAGAGAGAGAGCGATCGTGGCCTGCGTCATCGCCTCTGGCCTCGGCCTCCGCTCACCTCCGTTCGGCCTCCACCAGCCTCCGCCCACCTTCGCTCACCTCGGACCACCTCCCCTCCGTCTTCGCCCACCTTCGTTGGCCTCCCCCCACCATCTCCTCTCCTCTGCCGTCGCCACGTCCCGTCCGCCTCCTCCGATTATCACCTCCCACCATCTTCTCTCCGCCTTTGCCACCTCCCGTCCACCTCCTCCTGCCCGCCTCCTCCTGCCATCTCCTTTCCACCTCCGCCACCTCCCGTCTGCCTCCTCCCGCTATCTCCTCTCCACCTCTGCCACCTCCCGTACACCTCCCGCCATCTTCTCTCTGCCTCCGTTCTTCTGCCCGCACATCGGCCATCCCTCTGCCCGCCGTTTAAAACAAAATAAAAAAAAAATGGTGCATGCCCACCTCCCTCCTGCCACCGGGATCGCCAATCTCCCCTCAGCCTCCACCCACCTCCCATCCGCATCCTCTGGCCATGTCCTCTCTCTCTTTCCACTCGGCCTCCGTCACTTCGCCTCCGCTCACCTCCGCTCTGGGCTCCGTTTCCGCCATCACGGTGGACATCCTATTGCCCGCCCCTTTTTCCTTCTTTTCTTTTCTTTTTTAACAGTGCGCGCCCACCTCCCCTTGGCCTCTGACGACCTCATGACCACCTCTGACGACCTCATGTCAGCCTCCGCCCACCTCCCTTCCGCCATTGGGATTTCCCATCTCCCCTTGCCTTCCCTCGACCTCACATCCGCCTCCTCTCGCTATCCCGCTGCACAGTCCGCTGTGCGCGCCAACCCTCCCTTCCGAAATTGGGATCTCCCATCTCCCTTTGCCCTCCGCCCACCTCACGTCCACCTCCTCCCAACATCCCGCTACACATCCTGCTGTGCACGCCAACCTCCCCTCGGCCTCCGATGACCTCCTGTCCGCCTCTGCCCACCTCCCCACCTTGCGTCCGCCTCCTCACGCCATTCCGCTGCACATTCCGCTGTGCGCGCCAACCCTCCCTTCCGCCATTGGGATCTCCCATCTTCCCTTGCCCTTCGCCCACATCGCGTCCGCCTCGTCCCAACATCCCGCTGCATATCCCGCTGTGCGTGCCAACCTCTCCTCGGCCTTCGCTGACCTCCTGTCCGCCTCTACCTACCTTCTCCGCCTGATACCTCCACCCACCTCCGCAAGGCTTCCGCCCGGTGCCTCTGTCCACCTTCCCTCAGCCCCCTCCCTATGCCTCCACCACCGGTCGGCCTTCGCCCACTCTCCTCCCCGCCTCCTCCCGCCATCTCCTCTCCGCCTCGGCCACTTTTCCTCTGCCCACCTCCCCTCGGCTGGCGGCCCACCCCCCGTCCAGCTCCTACCGTCCTCTACCTCCACCCACCTCCGCTCCGCCTCCACCCGCCCCGCCCGCTATCTTCTCTTCGCACTGCAAAGACGATTCCTTGGAGGGAGGGGGGGGGGAGAGAGAGAGAGAGGGAGAGAGAGAGGGAGAGAGAGAGAGAGAGAGAGAGAGAGAGAGAGAGAGAGAGAGAGAGAGAGAGAGAGAGAGAGAGAG